AGAGAAGCACAAAGATTTACAGGTTAGGGCTGTGCTCGGTGAGACAGGGGGTCCCGGCTGGCCCTGGGGGTTCAGGGTGGACCTGGTAAACTGATTTACTCACCAGATGAATTTATAATTCAATTAAAATATAATAAAACTTAAACTATTAATGGGTAACAGTGGTTTAATCTCTACATTCTCTCACTTTATGGTTTTCAATATTGTTGGATGATTGAGATTTTGTGACACAAAAGCAGCTGATTCCACCTGAGCCCAGAAACTTTATGTTGCCAATTTTGTATTCCTGCTGCATTCATATCCAACTATTACTACTATTTACTATATGAATTACTAAAATTACTATAGGTTGAATATAGAAATGCTTGGTCAATGACAAACATCCCTGGTTGAGCGATTGGTCAACTACAAAAGCGGGCGTGACAAAAGCTCTGATTGTACTCGGCAAAGCGAGAAAAAACTACAACCAATTATATTTCAATTCAATTTTATTCATTTTTGTTGAGCCTAAAATCACAACAGTAGGACTTTACAAAGTTGTCAATTTGCCAACCACAGATCAGAGAAACACATAGGAGCCATTGGCCCACAAGGAGCAGGATGACCAATGTCCATGATTGTTAAGACATGTGCATTAATGTCATGGTCCATCCGGCATCTATAATTGATAATCCGAAAATAATTTTTTTTCTTCCTGAAATCTGGATTAAAGACCTCATATTCTGCTATTTTGTCCAACAATTTATAATTAAAAAATAGTTGACAAAGACATATTTTGGTGGACTGAGATGACAGTCCTAAAACTTACATATGCTACAACAACTCCTAAAGTCTAGTTATGAAATTGTAATGATCTTTCATTTGAATCTTTCATGATGGACGCTCACTGAACATTGAACATTATGATCTCAGGTTTCAGGGAAATGTTCATAGTTGATGTTGTCCGTGTCGTCAATTTACGGCTGTTTACACATAACTCTTCAGCTCCAGCATTAAACTGTGATCCATACCTGCACAAGTCGCTATAGCAACTGATTGGCCCTATATTTAATCCACAGGTAATCTTCACACAAAGTAGAGAAGAGAAGTTTTTTGCCATGTTTCGCAATCTTTACTTGAGTCAGCTAATGATCTTACAGAGATGTTTTTTTTTATATTTAAATTTATTTATACTTGTGCAGGCCTTACTTTATTCATAATAAAAAGTTCCACAGGCTACACAGCTGCATATACCTATAAAATACATGAATTTAATTGTCATCTCTTAACTGGTGAAGGTCTTGGGTACGAATCCCGGACGGAAAAGGGCCTACCTGAGTGGAATTTTCATGTTATCCTTGTGTCTGCGTAGGTTTCCTCTGGATGCTCCGGTTTCCCCTGCCACTAAAAACCTGTACAATAGGTCTGAATGTGGAGAGAATGGAGCAACATCTAAACTCTGAACACTGTAAAGCATTTCAACAAGGTCACAAAAAGCACTTTTGGAATACCTTGGTCGGTAAAAATGGGCTATTAAAAAAAAGATTACTTACTTACTTACTTACTTAACTGTATGTAAAGGGCATATTTCAACAAATCAAAGAACTTTAATAGCATTTTATCATATTGATGAGAGTACAGTGGTTCCGTTCTGTATGCAGTATTTTTCAGACAAGTACCCCGGCCTACAGAACAGTTGTTATATGGTGTTAACTCCACTACATCCAGATAACTCTTCTTTAAGCTCTCTTCAAGCTTTCTCCCCAATAAACGTCTCGATCGTTCAGGATCACAGTGGAAAGCACGGCAGATAGAAGCAGAAAAAGTCAAACCAGATGTGGACGTGTGAGCTGCTTTTCCTTCCTTCCTGTCCTATTAATCATGAGGAGGGACGGGCTGTGTATATATATCGCCACAAAATACACTCTGTACTTCTGCCAATAACTCTGCTAATGCTGACTACTCATTTCCATCTCATTTCTCTTTTCATTCCCCGTAATGACTGTGGGGTCCGACTTGGCTTTGAAGACAATGAGTAGGCAAAACTTTATAAAGCAAAATTGCACTAAATTGAGGATATAGTGTCACTAGTAATGCATCTGTATGGAGACTGGATACAGCTGCATAAATTCTGTTTTGTTTGGTAAATAAGCATATAACGTAGTATTGTAATATAGACTATATATGGGTATAATTTTGTAGTAGAGTATACTATTGTAGAATTGTTGGTTCAGATAAAGTACTCTTGTTTTTTTATTCAATATATTTAACTAACTAACACTAAGTATAGAGCGCATTTGACAGACCAAGGTCACACTAAGCACTTTGCAATTTTGGAGTACCTTTTGGAGCCTCTGACTATCACAACCCATTCACTCTCTCCTTACAGTCATTTCTTTCGTAGACGTTTTTAGTGTTAGGGCAAACTGGAGCACCCAGAGGAAACCCACGTATAGACACAGATTATGGGTCAATGTCAGTGTTTCTGTACATCAAAAGTTACACAGTAGAAATGAACCACACAGCACAAGATAAATGAATACTAACTATATACTGAAATGAAATAAAATAAAATCTCTAACTGTAGCATAAAAATCAGCCGTACAGAGAGAACATGCAAACTCCACACAGAAAGGCCTCGAGGTGGAATTGAATTGAAGTGTTAACCACTGTGCCGCGTGTGAATACGTGGGTAGGTCCAAATGCACTCAATATGTAAGCCATTGCATACTTGTGTGAGATTTCATAACACTTTGAAGCAACTTTTGTTAAAGTTAAACTCATCATTCTATCAATGTGCAGAAGCCTGTACTTTTCCCTTGTTTTGACTTCTGAAGGCCAAGCTACATGGCACCGTGGAAGCTGCTGATTGGAGGTCTCCATGCCTCTGCTCTGTATACTTGCATTCTGTTGTATCTGTGTTCGTGTGCTTTGTTCGTGCTGTCTCTACCATCGACAATAAAACATGTCTTCTGTCTGAATGAAAGACGCGATCCCAGACTTTGTCATCTTCTTCAGGTGGTGGAAGGATGCGGGCCTTGTCTGTAACATCTACAGAATAGAAGACTACTTTTTTTTACACAAAAAGTGTTTTTTTATTTTTCAAGCCAAAACTGAAAAACCTCAAGAGAAACCATGCATCTGGACCAGCACATGGACAATCTGCACAGCCCCTGAGTCCAGTCAGGCTGTGAGCTGCTGAGACATGGACAACACCATCGTCCTCTTTTGCATGGACATCATTTGGAACAATTAGATTTCTGAATTTGGACATCATTTGGACTGAATTGAATTGCTGAATCTGGACACTGAAGCTGAAACGTGTGATTGAAAGACACGTCACAGAAGAACTCATGGCTCGACACAAATGCAGCCTGAAGAATCAACACGGAGAAGTCGGAGAGACTGTTTTCAAAGCAATATCTGGAACCATCGACTGATGAAGTTTGGTATTTTACTGAAGATTGTTGACAAGTTTTATGAAAGATCTGAACATGTTTTATGAGTTTTCTGAGTTTTTGAAGTATTCCGAGTGAAGTACCGAGTTTATGAGTTTAAGTATTGAGTCATGATGTTATGTTGCTGTTTATCGATCTTGATGGTCACACGGGAATGTGTGACCAGAGGGGGGAATGTGAGATTTCATAACACTTTGAAGCAACTTTTGTTAAAGTTAAACTCATCATTCTATCAATGTGCAGAAGCCTGTACTTTTCCCTTGTTTTGACTTCTGAAGGCCAAGCTACATGTTGTATCTGTGTTCGTGTGCTTTGTTCGTGCTGTCTCTACCATCGACAATAAAACATGTCTTCTGTCTGAATGAAAGACGCGATCCCAGACTTAGTCATCTTCTTCACCTGTTAATACTATTTTTTTTATTAGTATTTTTTTGATCTCTTAAAGGGCCATTACGCAACTTTCCATGGGGAGAGTCCACTTTTTTTCTCCTGGGAATGCTCTATGGCCTTAATTTTTCCATCTACATTGGAGACAAGCTAGGTATGTCACTATAGACTAAAGTTCAGGTCACACATGCAGAGAGAAGAGTCGACACCAGAGTAAGAGTTCTGGTTTTTGAGCAGTAAAATCTCTGTCAATACAAATAATGCAACCATTATATACATTCCAAGTTATGTCACTGGTTGAAAAGTTGCGGAATGTACCTTTAAAACTGAGATTTCTAACTTAATACTAGAAACTCTCTTGTTAAAAGTAAAATACTGTGAACAAATCAGACCCCGACACCCTGCCTTTATCTGATTAGAAAACCTGTTATCTTTTGCATACATGTAAGATAAAGGCTTGTGAGTTTTTAATTGACTCTTTGGGCTGTGAGCTGATTGGCTGAATGAGGGTGGTCCTATCTTTTTCACTTTTCTGTCTGTAAGAACTCATCCAAATATAAGACAAAGGCCAAAAATACATGCGTGTAAAAACTAGAACCAGAGAGGGAGGAACGAGTCAGATGGGTTTTTACGACAGAGTTCATTTTTCTGCAGTTTGAAAGTTAGATACTGGAGAGAATAGACTTTTCCATCCATGACATGTTAGTGCCATATATAAACCAACTCAGAATCTGAGGAGCACAGGGACTGGCCTCCTGCTGGTGCCCAGAGTCAGGACTAAAACATGGGAAGGCAGCCTTTCAGATTAACGCAGCTAAAATCTGAATCAGTCTTCTTGAAAATGTGAGACAGGCTTCTTCTCTGGCAATGTTCAAATCCAGGTTAAAAACAGTTCTGTTTATCGGTGCATACAACATGGGGATTTTATTGTTACTCTTTTTAATGTACTGTGACTTTGTATCATTTTTTATCATTTCTATCTTATTTTGTTCAGCACTTTGCCTTGTGTAACTGTGCCATACAGAAAAAACTTCCCTTGCCTTGCCTTGCGGAACTTTAAACAAGCAACTGCCCCTTTACAAAAAAAAAAAAAAAAAAGCCTTGTCTATACTTTTAACCTCAGTGTGCTGTGGTCTGTTCTCATTGTAAAAGTTGCACACGCTTCTTCCTGGCTGTATGAGTGCGCGTGCATGTGAGCGCGCTCAACTTGTTGGATAGGACCAGCTGCTTGTCTCCTGTTGCTCTCAGCGGAGTTTGGGCCGCGCTAGTTTCTTTTGTTATCAAAACGCAGAGTACAGTCCGCCCCTTCCCCCTTGTATTCTCTCCTCTTGTTTTTTTTTTTTTTTCCTTCTCCACACAAGCCATCCTCCCCTCCTCCCCTGCCTCCTCCATCAGGGTGACGCCAGAACCTCTCTCAATCTCACCCCGCCCCACTTTCAACTCCACTCTGCCGCTCTGCGTTCATTTCATTCCTGCTCCCATTCCGCGCATATTTCTCATCCTTGGACACACGGCTACGCATTCTACGCACTCCGACGGCCCCCTTCCAGCCCCGTCAGCAGATCCGAACCATCTTTCCCAAGAGTTTGACCCGGTTTCACCTCCTGTCTGGGGGGGAAAAGTGCGAAGATTCATCCGGAGAAGAGGTGCTTTGGATCGAGGTAAGTTCCCGAAGGAGGAGCCCCCTAGTTCAGCCTCGCTTTCCTCTTCTATTTGGCTTGTTTTGAAGTGAAATTACGCGCCGTGTTGTCGCGTTTGCCTAGAAATCCCAGTCAGGAAGCACGCACAGACGCAAAACTACCCAAAATACGCACGTTACAGCGGTGTTTTCAGTGCGTAATATGGACGCGATCGCTTCCACTTCATCCCCCCGTTTCTCCCCTGATTACAAGCCCGCTCCTATAGTCGCATAACACCACTTTCCTTTGCTTATTTATCCAGTATTTTCATCAGAATATGTCACTGGGACTTTGGGGGAGCTCTAGCCGGCAGCAGGGAGGCGGAAAGCAGGCGAGGACGGCGCCGGGAAGCCGCTCCAAACAAAGCTGGGAGTGAATGGGACTTGTTGCTTTTCTCCCTCTCCGTCATATACTACACGCACACTCGCACTCACACACACGCACACACACACACACACACGCACACACACACAGCACACACAGGCCCCAGCGGGAGGACCAGGCCACAGTTTACCCAGGCTCCACCGCGCTCAAGTCACCCCCAGCCCCAGCTTTAGTTCAGCCCTTTTATTGCCTTTAGGGCCACAAGTACTAATGTGAGTAATGTTTAAAAAAAAAAAGTGTATAGCCTTGCACTACTAGTACGTATGCTGGTGTACTATGTGAGACATGTCTGCGTTATAAGTTTCCAAACTGAATTATGTCAATTTTCAGGTTGTTACAAAAAATCTCATCCAGACTTTTCCCCCTTATTAATCTTTTTGTTTATTTCAAGCTTATAACAATGTTTACATCACAATTATATGTCATGCTCCATCTTCTTACACAAGTTCAAAAACATGTAACTGTATTAACATATTTATCACTTGTTTTCTGCTGATTAGTCCGGATATTACTTGTAGATGTTGAAAAATACAACATTTTGAAGTATCTCAGGAAGCTGTATCAATATTGTATTTTTTTGTTATCTTTTTGAGAATATGTTGCAAGCTAAAAGAAAAATTTTATTCTCCTTGATTTGTCATTGTTTTGCCCATGGAAATGTGTGCTTTTCACATTTAGCGTGCGTCCGGGATAAAGGGCATATTGTTTTTAATATGTGGTTGTGTTTGAAAAATAGATTTAACTCGCAATATATTACCGGATGTATCGCAGAATCGTACCTCAGGAAGCAATCGTGATGGAACTCATGGCACACAATGGGATTTAGCAAAAGTTGTGATAAAACGTCACAGACTGCAAATACTGCAGGGTCAAATCAAACATGCTATCACCTCTGATTTCTCCTGCTTTGTGGTGAACCCTCATATATTCCAAGAGCCTATGCCGTGTTACTTGTATAGCGTAATGTCTGTACACAATAGCCTTTTGGACGCCTCTTTTAAATATTAATCAAAGGGTTATTGCGCAATACGAGGCTTCTGCGGCCAGCCCAGTATTAAAGGAAATGATAGGGCTGAGGCTTGAACTGCGAACACTGACAGTTCTCCAGATGCCAGATGAAAAGACGCTCTCGGACACTTGTGGATACGCTTTACTCAAACTGTCTTCTGAGGATTATTTCTGTTGACTGTATATGGACAACAATACACACGCACTTAACGGAGCAAACAGATTTACGACAGGGTGGCTATAGGCTTTGTGTTGTGCTGTTTGGCATTGATGTCAAATTAAAAGAGTACATTTGACATGATGTGGAGAAGAATCTGGCGGGTTTGTGTGTGACTGGGACTTCGTGCAAGGCAGAGGTTGTAATTATTTGTTTTGGGTGAGATTTGTATTTGTATAATGGCAATAATAGTTCAAATATTATTCCTTAAAACGGTGGTGAATGCTGGTATTTTGACTTTGTTTGTTTGAGAGGAAAGATTAGGTTACTATGTTCCCGATACGAAAGAACTAGATTTCCAATTTCGGCACCACAACCACAACAAATGAGAATTTTTAGACGCAATAACAACACAATATTATAGTTTGCTTTAAAGGTGTTATACTGGTTTTGATTTACATTAAAACATGAAAATAACTGCTCGGAGAATCTGACATTTTCTCCTGTTTCTGTTATTTTTTTCTAGTTTTTGGTATGAATTCATATCTGCTTTTCGATACTTTTGGCAGTGCTGTAAGCAATCAATAACAGGGCATTATCTATTATGAATATTTATAATTAAAGGCAACATTTTATACCACAGCACATTTTTAACATTCTTGAGCTGGCAAAAGTCATTCACTGTGTTAAGCAAAAGCGTTATACAGATTAAGAGATCCTTTATTTGTCCCACAGAGGGGAAATTTTAGTGTCCAACTTTAGCCTAACAAAGAAGCCAGAATTAAGTATAAAATAGTCAAGTTATTTCACAAACACAGCGACAAAACTTGGAACTTCAAAGCAAACTGCGTATACTTTCACATTCATCCGAGCCACATCCTAAAGTCGTGAAGTGTGTCAGCTCAGTCTAGTCCTGGTGCACAAAGCTCTGGACATACACCCCCCCCCCCTCCCTCCCTCTCTCTCCCCTTCAGTCCGTTGACATCTGTTTGGAGGACTGCTGCACCTGTAGTCTTTCTATATATGTGTGTATGTGCGCGCGCTTTTGTGTTTGCGCGTGCTTGTTTGTGTGTGTATATGTATGTGTGTGTGCATGGAGAGAGGAGGAAAAAAAACCAAAGGGAGGTGCTGAATGCAAATCCCAGCCGTTTGTTCCGGGTCCTCCGCTGTATTCGCCTGACGGACTAACGACCATTTGCCTGTGCGCGCAGGGCCCATTGTGGGAGCCGCGGCAACAGGCGTCACCGCTGAGGACCACCATATGGCCCGTGTGTGCGCTTTAGTCCCAGGCCACCGCCAGCCTGTTACAATATGCTTTTTTTTCCCTGCCCGCGCTTTCATCTGCTGTCAGCCCGCTTTTTTTCCCCCTTTTTTTTTTGGACAAGAGCACTCAGTCCGGCTCAGATTTTATATCGAAAAAAGAGGGGGATTAGGACAAACAAATGCCAGTGGTAATTTCCTCTTGCACAATCTAGGACGAGATTTAATTTTTTAACAATCTGTTGAGTTTGAATTTGCGACATGCGTCAATGGGTTGTGTGGGTGAGGCAACAGGTGGTGCTGGCAGTGTGGAATGGTAAAATTCCAAAACTATATTATTTGCGTTTTGTTTATTATATTTTGATTGTTTGTTTTGCAGCGTAATATCGTTTGTCCACTCTGATGCATTAAAGCTGGGGTACCTAACTTTAAAACCACACAAAATTGAGCTATGAATACAAGAAAAACGAGTTTATGGCTTTCAAGACAGTTGGATTCTATTGCTATAGTTTTCACATTTATGTATATGTGTAATTTTATCAGCTTTTTCTGACAGAAAAGTGAACAAGAGAGGACCACCCTTACTCAGCCAATCAGCTCTCAGCGTGGAATAGTGACACACAGGGCTCTTCAGTTATGCAAAAGATAAAAGGTTTTCTTGTCAGGTAAAAATGGCAGGTTGTGGTCTGATTTGCTCACAACACTTTTTACTTTTACAAGATTCTTACTGTTGGGAAAAACAAAAACCTTATTTAACAAGTTTGATACCCCTTTAAAATATGATGTATCAGGCATCTATTCTTAATTTATGATGTTTTACGCAATTATTAGAATGTGCCTGAGGGTTCTACCAGATCATTGCAGCTTCACTTTTATATTTCACTCCAGTCACAAAAAAAAACAAAACATATAATGAGATTACCCGCAGTGACGGGCTTTTCTTCCCCTCAGCTGTTGAAGTTTAGGGACCCCAGAGTGTGTAATGAAATGTGGCGGTGTGCGGGGGAGGGGCAGAGTTTCGGGGTGTGTTGTGGTCACGGGGATCCAGCTTTGTTTTTGGTTCAGGCCGGAACAATAGCCTCTGGCGGGTGGGACGGGTGTGTGCAGGGGGTCCCGGCTCGAGGGGAGGCTCCGGTCCTGTCCCAATCTGGATCTCCTCTGACGTCTCACTGTGAGGGTCTTAAACTGTCATGGAAACTCAACACTCAGAAAGTTCAAATAAAATATAATGTGTTTTTAATACACACGCAGTAGTTATGGCAACAGGGGATGAGACTGATGACGCCAACATCAAGAGTCGTCAAACGTATTGAAAATCAGAAGTTATTCAATGTTATTGTTGATATATCAATGTATTTGTTTTCTCCTGGACTAATTAAGTCTAATGAAGTTTGATGATGATGATGATGATGATGATTATTATTATTATTATTTGTATTGAAACTAGATACTCTTTTTGGGGTGATTTCAGAACTATCTTTTGGTACCATTTTCATACCCAAAAAATATATCTGTGCAGGTTGTTATGGCAGCATCAAAATTCTTGTTAGTATCGGTAGAGTTTTGTGATATCAGTAACTACTCCCAAAAATGAGTCAATGTCAAGAAATTAGAAACGAGATCCGCTTTTGTCACAGCACAGACATTCTTGTCATTCAGAAATTGTGGTTGAAAACTGTTTAATTATTAAAGTGGTTTAAAATTGCAGGGCTGTGGAAAAAATTGCGATCCCCACTTCTAAACCCCGAATTATCGACATGAAGACCAAGACTTGTTTTTTTTTTCTTCTAAACTTACTGTTTTAGAGAAAAAGTGAGCCATGGACAAACAGCATGTAGCTTTGGCACATTGTTAGGCTTCTATTTTCTCCTGTCTTTTCCAAAGTATATGCAAAATCTCAAGGAAAAAGAACAAAATCAAATCGAAAATTGAGATGGATCAATAAAATGGGAAAAAAATATTGTTTTTTTGCCCTCAGTTCACCCAGTCCTAAGTGTACCTCTTTTCTAGTGCCCGGTATAGTGCCAGTTTACCAGCATTTCTACAAATGATCTAGTTTCAGATGTTATTTGACAGAAGTGCTGTACTCTCAATTTGTCTCCGCTCAAAACACACCTTGCACCAAACAATTATTTCTACAACTACCGGCGCACTTTTGGATTCAAATTTCAGT